GGGCTTAGCAGGGAGTCTGCTTGTGGATTCTCTCTCCCTTTGCCCCTCCCCCCCACTCGCACTTGTGCCCTCTCTAAAATAAATAAATCTTAAAAAAAAAAAAAAAAAGACCCATGTGAAACCTTCTGCCCACCTCTACATACAAGGAAAAAATTCTCCTTTCTGGATATTCATCCTAACCCTAAAGAGAAGGAACCCACTCACCGCTGCACAGAGACAAGGCTTTGGAAATTATCCCCAGTGATCTCCTTATTTGTTGCAAATAGTTTTCTTTGTGTGATTACTCCCCTTGGCTGAGTCTCTACTGTAACTCACCAAGGAGCAAACTAGCATCACTGTTGAAAGAGCTAAAGGCAAGCTGAGGGCAAAACACGAGCGGACACCCCGAAACCACCCCCTTTAATGTGGGATATACATACAACATTCCTCAGGCACTAGTAACTGCCCAAGAACAAAGGCAGGGGAAAAACAAATGCTCAGCTGATAAAGATCACAGTCATTTAGGACCTGAAACTACACTCTAGTTGGTAACTGTCTTGATGATTTACAGGAAAAACACCATCTTAATAATAGGCCTCCAGGAACCTAGAGACTCAATTTCCTGGGGCCCTAACATCACCTTCACCTCCAAAAGATAGAAAACCCTATGTAATCAGTCACTCCTCACAATCACAGTGCGGCTCTCTGCCCACAGGTCCTGTCCCCATGCTCTAAAAAAACTCCTTTTTGCACCATAAAACATCTCAAGAATTCTTTCTTGACCATTGTGCTTGACAATCTTCCATCAACAGTGTGTCCTTCCCCTAATCCACACTCAAGATATTTTCAGGAATAAGTAGCATATTCTAATGCTTTTAGGGGTTTGAGTTTAGCTCCTTAAATGCACTAGGTTTTCAAAGATTTACACTAAGCTTTGGGCAGTTTTCCTCACATCGATTAAAATAGGAATTCAATTGCTTTAGCCTGTTGAATGTCAGTGTTCTCTAGGGGCACATACAAACAAAAGCTGATCCAAAAATGAAAAATAACCTGAGAATTTAAACACATTCATCTCACATCTTGAGGTTCACTTGACTAAACAGATCACAAATTCTACTTGGTTTCCCTAATTTTCTAACTTTCCCCACACCCTACCTCTCAATCAACTTACAGTTGAGGAGCCCAAGTGCTGAGGGAAACCAGAGCCAAAGGGCTGCACTATTTGATCAGGAAAGGAATCCAGGAAACAAAACAGTGGACTCAGTACCGATAAGCAGCCTGCTTCCCCCAGGACAGAAGGAAAGCCACATTCAGAAGGTTCCACATTGTAGACTCTCCTGGTGGGGGCAGCCCTGGAGTGGGTCAGTCCCTGGTGAGGGAGGGTAGGGGCACCTGAGCAGCCACGGGAATGAACCCTGGGAGCCCCACACACTGTCCCCTCCCCAGGGCATAAGGGAACCGCTCCCTTCCTCAGGCTTCCATTCTCCCAGGTGAGGAAACTCTCAGCAGGATTCAGTTCAAGGTTCTGCCCCCAAATAATCTCCCCAGTCACTGACCCTAATCCAGAACACAGAACTTGACTTTCACAGACTTTCTCAATGGACACAATTTACACTCTGAGTTCCTCTACATTGCGGATGCAAAACTCCAATTTATGTTTAGAAAAGGCCCAAGGGAACACGGTTACAACCTCAGAAAGAGTGTCTCACCCCCCAACTTCCCCCAACACCCCCACCCCGTGCACTTCCATCCCCAGCTTTCCAGGGCTCTGTACTTTCAGTATTGAGGGCTCCTTCTCAGGTGTGTGTAAGTAGGTAGGACACCTGCAAGGCGAGCCCCACAGAAAGAACAACTGGGCCTTGAAGTGCTTTGGGGGTGAGATGGACCTTATTTTAGAGCCAATGACGGCATGCCTCTGACCCCACTAGAGTTGCTCTAGACCACCGCGGATACTTGAACACAAACCCAGTGTCTGAACAATCCAGCAAAATCCCTCAAACCCGGGGCACCTGGGTGGCTCGTGGTTGAGAGCCTGACTCTTGATTTCAGCTGGGGTCACAATCTCAGGTGGTGAAGTTGGGCCCCTGCTGCAGTTTCTGCGCCAGGCGCTGCTTGTCCCTCTGCTTCTACTCCTCCCCCTGCTCGCTCTCTTGCGATCTCTGTCTCTCGAATAAATAAATAAAATCTTAAAAAAAAAAACCCTCAAACCCAGCGATTATGAAAAAGGTGGGAAGAAAACTGTAAGGTATTTTTATCTTAAAGGATTTTATTTATTTGACGGAGAGAGAGAGACAGGAACACAAGCAGGGGGAGTGGAGACGGAGAAGCAGGCTTCCGGCTGAACAGGGAGCCCGATGCGGGGCTCGATCCCAGAATCCCGGGATCGTGACCTGAGCTGAAGGCAGACGCTTAACAACTGAGCCACCCAGGCGCCCCTGTAAGGTATTTTTCTAATAAGAAAACCCACAAGTATATCGTGCTTTCAGAAAATAATGATGTTAATTCATTATTATTTGCACGGCAGGAAACTTTTATAAACGATCACACTTGAACACCCTGGTGTTGCAAGTCTAAGCCCTGGAATTTCATTTGAAATCACCCAAAAGTAAGGAACAGACCTCAGAAACAAACTCCACCGCCTAGGGGAAGAAAGAGAGAAACAAGAAACTTTAACACATGCAATATAGTACTATTTTCTCCCGAATTTCTCCTCTTTCTTGCCTCTTTGGAAATATGTTTTTCAAGACCTATTGATTAAATACATTTTACATTTATTGTAAAACAGAGACTTTAAAATACTGAATAAATGTTTTCAATGTGACAAACCCAAGAAGGGGCAGTGGGGTCAGGACAGATCACTCAGGAAAGCTTCAAAGGATGTTCAAAGTTCCAAAGTATAGCTGAGCCCAGGAAAGATCTTGGGGGGAGGGGCACAAGGCTTTCACGCAAAGTTGTTCCAGGTGATTATTCTCTGCTTCCTCTCATGTAAAATATCCACAAAGAATAAACCTTTCAAAATGAGCCATCCATTGACTGTGTGAAAACGATAAACAATTAAAATACTGCGTCTGTTTGAATTGCACCGCGGAGAACAAACGGTACTGATGCTATGAACTGAAGAGGGGAAGCTGGCGTCTGGGGAGGCGGGGCGGGATTTCGAAACAAGCATTTATTGCCAGTCCGAGGAAAGGAAAGGCTGGGAGACAGGGTCGTGGATTTGACCCTCTGCCGCCCAAACATCGGGAACACTCAGGAGAAAACGGGGGCCGCTCGGGAGAAAGGAAGGACTGGGGCCCCCGGACCACAGCACCTCCCGCGCACGAACCTCGGAGACCGAGTCACGACTGTCTCCTGACGACCCTCCCCCGTGATCACTGCATGATCGGGGGAGACGCGGCCGCGCGCAGGGACCGAACAGGACGCTCACCATTTCCCAGCTTCTCGGTCCGCCGGCATCGTCCCTACGGCTCCCGCAGCCGGTGCAGGTCACCGCGCCATTGACGCGGCAGCAGGGCCACCTGGGACCGTTAAGAGCAGGTGAGACTTGACCACGAGCAAGACCGCAAGCGTCCACGCGGCTGCGGAGCGTCGCCACGCCCACCTGCCCCTGCTGCGCCCCTGATTGGACAGCTCGCAAGGACCCGCCCCTCTGCTCCTGAGTGACAACAGGGCCGGAGGTCCGATTGCTGAGGCGCAGCAGTCTCTGCGGGTGGTCGGGAACCGGTCCCCTCCTTGGACGTTCGCTTTTATTTTTTTATTTTTATTTTTTTTAAAGATTTTATTTATTAATTTGAGACAGAGAGAATGAGATACAGAGAGCATGAGAGGGAGGAGGGTCAGAGGGAGAAGCAGACTCCCTGCCAAGCAGGGAGCCCGACGCGGGACTCGATCCCGGGACTCCAGGATCATGACCTGAGCCGAAGGCAGTCGCTTAACCAACTGAGCCACCCAGGCGCCCTGGACGTTCGCTTTTAGACAAAACTTGGTCCAGGCCCTAGAGGGACAGTGGCGCCTTCTTGCAGCTCCCTCTAAACGTGGGGACACAGCTGTGCGCAGGGAGTCCCAGAGTCCGTTCCAGTGGAGCGACGCCCTTGTTCAGAGCAAGAGGGGCGCCTGACCAGGCCATTAGGGACCAGGGGGTGTTCTGGGGTTGGCATGAGTTTGCGAAGGCACTCATGGAGCTGTGACCCTTGTTTACAAACACACTTAAAAATTACCTCACCCCGCTGCGCCTGGGTAGCTCAGTTGGTTAAGCGTCTGCCCAGCTCAGGTCATGATCCCAGGGTCCTGGAATGGAGCCCCCACCCTGCTCCCTGCTCAGCAGGGAGTCTGCTTCTCTCTCTCTTAAATAAATCCCCACCTCTGGTGCTCTCTCTGTGTTAAACAGATAAAATCTTTTTTAAAAAAAATTACTGTATGCAATAAAGACTGGCTCCATATTGATAACTTTAACTGTGGGCAGAGACGAGGCTCCACCCACCCCTTCTCCACCTGCAAACACGTGGTACTTCAGCTGAAGAATTCCATGACTTCCCAAGCCCTATTAGGGGTTTGAACCCCACAGCCTGAGCCTCAGCACAGGGACTCTACTCCTCCAACCATAAGCTGTGAGATGTGCTCATTAAAACTCTCAGGTGTCCATTGAAATTCAGCTTTTGAGTGTGTGCCTAGAAATTTTGAAATGTAGGGTGCCTGGGTGGCTCAGTTGGTTAAGCCACTGCCTTCAGCTCAGGTCATGATCCTGGAGTCCCAGGATCGAGTCCCACATCAGGCTCCCTGCTCAGCAGGGAGTCTGCTTCTCCCTTTGACCCTCCCCTTCTCATGCTCTCTCTCTCATTCTTTCTCTATCAAATAAATAAATAAAATCTTAAAAAAAATTTTTTTTGAAATGTAAACTTTATGATATCCCTAGGGCACCTGAATTCCTATTTTCACCAATATTAGAAAAAACAAAAAGTTACATAAATGTGGGTTGTACTTGAAAACTCTTACTTCACTAAGCACATTAGTTCAAAACTCAGTGCATTTGAGGTATTTATTTAGCTTTATTGAGATACAATATACATGATATACAACACATCCCTTTAATGTGTACAACTCAATGGTTTTCAGTATATTGACCAATACAGCCTATTAGCACCACAATTTTTGAACATGTAGCATGGGTCAGAATGTCCTCTATTTTTAAGGTTGAATAATGTTCCACTGTATGTATGCATAGCTCTTTGCTCCTGCATTCATCAGTTGATGTACATTGGGTCACTTCCATTTGCCAGTCTGAGTAATGATGTTGTGAACATAGGTTTGTATCTCTTTGAGACTCTGCTTTCAACTATTATGGGTATACACCTGGAAATGAAATGGCTGCATTAAATGGTTATTCTGTTTTTAATTTTTTTGAAAAACCACTATACATTTTCCCATACTGGTTGCACTATTTTGCATTCCCACCATCAGTGCACAAGGGATCCCATTCCTCACATTCCTGCAGACACTTCTCATTTCTGTTTTGGTTTTTCTTCTCTCACTCACCCTAATGTGTGTGAGAATACCTTTATTTTTATAGGAATCATTACTCTTGCCTCCATAAAGGCAGGTCTGTCTGTATCATACATACTATATACACTCACACCTGAGCAATTCCTGAGACAGCGTTAATTTAAGATGTAATAGGTGGTGGGAATAGAAATGCTTCATGATGACATCCTTAATCACTGATGCCACCACCCTTCTAGAGAAGACAGAAAAACACACCCCTGGGTCCTGTTATCTCACGTGCCATTGTGAACTCACCTTCAAAGCTCTTATTTCTGCCTAATAAACCAAACCTTATCATTTGTTTAAAAATGTCTCCTTCCCCATAAAATTGAAAGTACGAAGACTATAAGAACTTTTTTTTTTTTTTTATGTCTCTATAGTTTTGAGTCTAGAGTGCCTGGTAGACAAGGGACACTCAAAAAAGTTAACATTATGACACAGCTCCTCAGCAAGAAAGGCCTACTTTGAATCCTGGTCCTGTCTTTGTCCTTTTGTATCAAAAGATGCAGGCCTCCGTTGACTCATTAAATAAGTTAAGACAGTGAACAAGAATAATCTAGTTGCTCTAAGCTAATTTTATTTCGTGCTTCATGAAGTGGGCAGTCTCCACTCTAAAGAGTCCAGAGAACCGGGCGCCTGGGTGGCTCAGCCGGTTAAGCGTCTGACTTCGGCTCAGGTCATGATCCCAGCGTCCTGGGATCGAGTCCCACATTGGGCTCCCTCCTCGAGGGGAAGCCTGCTTCTCCCTCTCCCACTCCCGCTGCTTGTGTTCCTGCTCTCGCTATCTCTGTCTCTGTCAAATAAATAAATAAAATCTTAAAAAAAAAAAAAAAAAGAGTCCAGAGAACCGGGCGCCTGGGTGGCTCAGCTGGTTAAGCGTCTGACTTCGGCTCAGGTCATGATCCCAGAGTCCTGGGATCAAGTCCCGCATTGGGCTCCCCGCTGAGCGGGGAGTCTGCTTCTCCCTCTACCTGCCGCTCCCCCTGCTTGTGCTCTCTCTCTTCCTCTCTCTAACAAATAATAAATAAAATCTTAAATAAATAAATAGTCCAGAGAACACAAAGCAAGGAGCAGGGCTGCAGACTGTTACAGAGGGAAGCATTCAGGGAATAAGGAAAGAGTATTTGGCTTCAGTTGATGGGCTGGGGTTGTATATCTGACTTTATTTAGAGCAAGGAAAGCATTAGGGATAAATGACCAAACATTCCAAAACAATTATGATTACCAATCACAGTTACATTTACCTCCTCACAGCATCCAATAGACAGCAATGTGTTCCTTCACGAACTATCGTTCAGATCACTTAACACTGGTCCAAATTCTAGAAGTCCTTTTGGATACTTTCTTACTGATACACCCACAGTCACTTCTCCTTTGCAGTCCTGCTGATGACAAGTGGGTACACTGCTCTCCATGACTGCAGGTATGTCCTGGTGGTTCTGGCAAGAGGTACTGACACAAACATGATTTAAGTGTTTGGTATTATGAGTGAATGAGAAGTCAGATTAATGACAAAAATTTTCAATATAGAAGAATAAAAATTAAATTTGCCTGAGAAGAAATTCCTGAACTTGCAACCATGTACCAATACTGACTCAGAATGCACAATAGTTAAATGGAAAAACTACCAAAGTGGATCCAAATGCCCATTATTGACAAGGGATATTTTAATATATGCTCTCAGGAAGTGAAAAGTAAAGACAGTAACATTTGTTAGTATACAAGTCATTTGAAAACACAGTTAATAGGATGTTTCTAAGAAATGTCCACATAAGGTTTTTTTGACAAAAATCCCCTGCACAGGGGCACCTGGGTGGCTCAGTCGTTAAGCGTCTGCCTTCGGCTCAGGTCATGATCTCAGGGTCCTGGGATCAAGTCCCACATCGGGCTCCCTGCTCGGCGGGAAGCCTGCTTCTCCCTCTCCCACTCCCCCTGCTTGTATTCCCCCTCTCGCTCTGTCTCTGTCAAATAAATAACTAAAAATAAAAATAAAAAAATTCCCTGCACATTGTTGTCATTTTTACAACAATATGAGAGCTTAATTATGCTCATGATTTTGAATTGTGCTCCAGGGTTTTATTTTTGTAGTTTATCTGTTTACAGTGTTCAAAGCATAAAGAAATACATTTTATCACGCAAACAATGAATCACGGAACACTACATCAAAAACTAATGATGTAATGTACGGTGATTAACATAACATAATAAAATAAAATTTAAAAAAAGAAGGAAATGCAAAAAAAAAAAAAAAGAAATACATTTTATCTTCAAATGTGGACGTAGAGAGGTTTGTCCTTAATGCTCTCAAATCCAACATTTACCTGTTTTCTGCTTGAAATTCTCAAAGTTTGACTAATGACCAGGGACCTTCAGACTATGGAAAATACCCAAATGCTTATGGTTTAGAGAAATACAAAACCCAAACAACTCTTTCAATCAAGAATGGAAACCAGGGAATCCAGAAGCTGAGTTACCCTGCAAGTGTCTTTCTGGGTGTCCTACCTGAGCAGTTACGGGGATGGGAGTGGACACCTCTATCCCAGGAGGGTGGAGCCTGTCCCCTCCTACAGTAGTTGTGCAAGTCAATGCCCCATTTTACAATGGAAGAAACCCAGACTTAAAGGCTAAATGAATCGCCCAAGATTGTATTAATAGTAAGCAGTAGAAGCAAGACTCTCCATATTATTTCTACTTTATCAAGATGGGTCAAAGTAGATCTACTTTCCATTCACTCTTTAAATTTTGTTTAACTTACATTTTTATCAAAGTAATATATTTATAGAGTTCAAGAATCAAATAATACCATAAAACTTCTAAAAATAAAAAGTGGTCTCGGGGCGCCTGGGTGGCTCAGTTGGTTGGGCGTCCGACTCTTGCTCAGGTCATGATCTCAGGGTCTGAGATTGAGCCCCGTGTCAGGCTCAGTGGGGAGTCTGTTTGGGATTCTCTCTCTCCCTCTGCCCCTACCCCCCGCTCTCTTTCTCTCTTTCACATAAATTTTAAAAATTAAAAATAAATTTTTTAAGTGGTCGCCAAAAAAATAAATCTTAAAAAAAAAAGTGATCTCCTACAATACCTCCCTAATTCTAATTCCTGTTCCCCAAAAGCAACTGATATCAATTTTTCTAGTCATTATTTAGAATTTATGTCCATATGCTTTAACAGCATAATAGGACAACTGTTTCGTTTTTTTTTTTTTTTTTAAGATTTTATTTATTTATTTGACAGAGAGACACAGCGAGAGAGGGAACACAAGCAGAGGGAGTGGGAGAGGGAGAAGCAGGCTTCCTGCCGAGCAGGGAGCCCGATGTAGGGCTCAATCCCAGGACCCTGGGATCATGACCTGAGCCGAAGGCAGACGCCTAACGACTGAGCCACCCAGGCACCCCAGGACTACTGTTTTTGATTTCTAAGTTTATTCTCCTCTTTCTTACATTTGTATGGTGGAGAATACACTTGGCCAATCTTTTTTCTAACTTCTTAAACTGAGGGAAGTTATATCTACTTTGATGAGTAAAGAATGATTTGAACGACTAGGTGCCTGTTTTTTTACTTAACAAGAGGCCCAAAGGCAGGCAATGTGCTGGCTTAGATTCAGTTGTTCAACAGTTTCCACTGGCAACTCTTTGATGCTCTTAGCCCTGTGGTCCCAGGATTGCTGCTTCAGCTCCAGGTATCCCGTTTGTATTCAAACATGTGGGAAGAAAGGAGGAAGAAAGTGTTGCACCAATTGCATATGCATTTTAGATCAGAAAAAACCAAAAATCTTTCTGGGGACTTATGGATCATTGGCCAAACCATGTTATACTGCAAGGGAAGTGATAATTAGTGTATTTCACATTTCTAGCCTCCAGAGTGGAGTCCATGAAAGGAGGAGGTTGGAGGGGCACCTGGGTGGCTCAGTTGGTTAAGTGTCTGACTCTGGTTCAGGTCATGATCTCAGGGTCCTGGATTCCAGCCCCATGTTGAGCTCCACGCTCAGTGGGGAGTCTGCTTGTTCCTCTGCCCCTCTCCCCACCCATACTCTCTCTCAAATAAGAAAAAGACAGGAGGAGGCTGGGAATAGGGTTGCAGTAGCCAGTCAGTGGGATCCAGCCACATTTCCTCATACCAGATCTGGCCTCCACATACATCTCTCTCTCTCTCTTTTTTTTTTAAGATTTTATTTATTTTAGAGAGAGAGGTGGGGGAGGAGCAAAGGGAGAGGGAGAGAGAGAATCTTAAGCAGGCTCCATGCCCAATATGGAGCCCGACATGGGGCTCAATCTCAGGACCCTGAGATCACAACCTGAGCCAAAATCAAGAGTTCGTTGCTTAACCAACTGCACCACCCAGGTGCCCCCCATCTTGACCATCTTTAAGCACAGAGTACACTGGTATTAAATACCTTCACTATGTTCTACAACCATCACCATCATCCATCTCCATAGCTCTTTTCATCTTGTAAAACAGACACTCTATACCCATTAGATAAAAGCTATCCATATCCCGTGCCTGCAGCCCCCGGCAAGCACCACTCTACATTCCGTCTCTACGAACTGGATTACTCTACATACCTTATATAGGTGGGATGATGCGTTATTTATCCTTTTGTGTCTGACTTCTTTCACTCAGCATAATGTCCTCAAGGTCCACATGTAGCCTGTGTCAGAATTTCCTTCTTTTTTTTTTTTTTTTAAAGATTTTATTTATTTGACAGAGAGAGACAGCGAGAGCAGGAACACAAGCAGGGGGAGCGGGAGAGGGAGAAGCAGGCTTCCTGCCGAGCAGGGAGCCCGATGCAGGGCTCAGTCCCAGGACCCTGGGACCATGACGTGAGCCGAAGGCAGACGCTTAACGACTGAGCCACCCAGGCGCCCCAGAATTTCCTTCTTTTTTAAGGCTCAATAATATTCCATTATATGTATATATCACTTTTCGTTTATCAGTTCATCAATTAATAGACACTTGGGTTGCTTCCACTTTTTGACTGCTGTGAAAAATACTGCTATGAACATGGATATGCAAATATCTCTTTGACAACCTACTTTCAATTCTTTTTAGTATATACCCAGAAGTGAACATGCTGGGTCATACGGTAATTTTATTAGAAAGTGATAGATGGTTTTCCATGGCAGATGCACCAATTTTTATTCCCACCAGTGTCCAAGGATTCCAATTTGTCTACACTCTCACCAACCTTGTTATTTTGTTTTTGATAGAATTCCTAAGGGTGGTGAGGTCATTCCCTTTACTCCTTTTTTTTTTTTTTAAAGATTTTATTTATTTATCTGAGAGAGAGAGAATGAGAGAGAGAACACGAGAGGAGAGAGGTTCAGAGGCAGAAGCAGACTCCCCGCTGAGCGGGGAGCCTGATGCGGGACTCGATCCTGGCAATCCAGGATCATGACCTGAGCCGAAGGCAGTCGCTTAACCAACTGAGCCACCCAGGCGCCCCTCCCTTTACTCCTTTAATCATGCTTTCGTTTAGTTATGAATATACTCGTAATGTCTACTTTGAAGTATTTTTTTCTGCTAAATCTGACATCTGTTAAACTCTCATATGCATTTTCTGATGCCTGCTTTGTCATCCAGCGTACGAGTCATACCTTCCTGTTTCTCAGCATTTCTCCTGGTTTAGCTGCAACTGGACATTTGAGATAATATATTGCACTTTGTGGGTATGCTTCACTCTTCCAGGCCTTGTTAGTGTTGTCTTTTGTTGTTTAATGACTTCCTGGTTATGTTGGTGAAGTCTATTTCTGCCTGACAGTGCTAAGCCTCTGATGCTGCTCTTTGGCAGAGAAGGGGGTATACAGCTTTGATTACGTCCGCTGTCATCTACGACATTGGTATTGGCAGGAATATCTTCTACTCTTTCTTGGACCACACTGAGTTGATAAAATGGACTAGTTGCTGACAGATGGCTCTACTGTTTTCAACCAAGTCCCAGGACAAATTTGCCCTACAAACTAATCCAAACATACTGTGGATCCTTTATAGTAGTACTACCTGAGGGTAGTGTTTGATATTTGCTCTGAGCCTTAGCAGACTCCTTTTAGCCGTCTTATTCCCTGGTTTTCTCCTGTGAATGAGCTGGCCTAGAGACCAGATCTTCATTAAATCCACAAATCTCCTGCCAGTTTTTTGTGTCTATTTCCCGTCTTTGGCTTGTACTTCTCGTAATCTGTAGTAACTGAAGTTAAGTCTTTGCCAAGAGATTACAAGCTGTTTTATAGCTTGCTTTCCCCTCACCGTCAGGCATAATTTCTCTGCTTAGAGCTTTGGAGCATGGGTAGGGACAATGGCAAGCTTCTGTCTGAATTACATTCTCTTTCTAGGAACTAACTACTCAGTGGAGGGAAGGGACAGCAGCTTGATGTTCTGCTTTTGTCTCTTGGTGGCATGGAACCACCAACTTCAGAGCTGAAGCAAGGGTGATCAGGGTTCCAGTATTAGCATACCATGCCCGT